AGTTCTGAGGAAGGGTCACCGGACCCGAAACGTTAACTCTGTTTTCTCCTCCACAGATGCTGCCAGACCTGCTGAGCTTTTCCAGCAACTTTGTTTTTGTTCCTGATTTACAGCATCCGCAGTTCTTTTGGTTTTTATTAAGTTCAAACATGTATTGAAGTTTAAAGTCTTTAGTTTGGTATTAACTGAAGTTCATAACAAACACCACAGAAACCATATGCATAAACAATTCCAAAACCATTTTATGTGTCGGCCAGTAGATGCCACACAAATATGTTGGCCTTCGCTTTTCACACTTCTTTATGTGATCTTTTGACTATTTTTAGAATGGTCTGGATTTTGTGTTCAGCAGTGAAGTGATGACATCATTGACCTCTTGAAAAGTATCTTTGTGATGTGGATTTCCGCTTTCTCAGAATGTTTTTTATTCTGGTGACAGATCAAAGGGATCTCCAACATCCATCAACAAAGTTGTTACCAAGGTACCTAAGCAGGCAAGACTTTCCAGATATTCCAGGCAAAAATCCAAGAAGTAAAAACAGTGATTATTCTTCACATTTTAATAATTTTAACAAGGACAAAATTAAAGAATGGGACAAGCATACAGAATTAAGGTAGAAGCTGAAGTATCATGAAACCCTGTATTTGTCATTCTGAACGTCTTATATGCCAATGTCATCTAATGAGCAAATCCTTTTAAAATTGTATCTTTATTCATTTTCCTGTATCCAGAGTATTATAAGCACGTAGAAATCATTTGTTACCAACACCCTTTTGTATTCATAAAAATAAATTCTGTACCTGTAAAATGAATTTTTTAGTAGGATATAAATCCATTGGAAAATGACATGGTGCAGGAAGAGAATTCAATAAAGTATGAGCACAAAGAATTTGCATGTCATTACCAAACAAATCTTTAATAAAATAATGATGTATGTGTGAATGATGCTTCTGTATGTCATACCCTGCCCTCCGTCCTTGCTCAAATGCAGCAGAAAGTGTATAGGCTATGCTGTCCATTAAGTTGATGAAGCTTCATAGTCCACAGCTTTAAGTCTGTAGACAGCTTTCATATTCCTGCTAAGAAAGATATTACCATGAAATATTTACAGAATGCTCTGAGATTTATCCAGATACATAAAATAAAGTTTCAACATAAATGGTTAGTTGAGGGACTATTCTGGTAGAGACCAACACTTTGTTATCACTGCATTCAGATTGTCTGACTGTATGGAAGCTATATTCAGCCTTGTCTTTGTGGATTAAATAAAAATAAAGTAATAGAGGGTCATAAGGGTAATAAAGAGAAGGCTTTATGACAGCTGGAAAGGGTGCATTGATCTGTCTAATCCACTGATGATGATACAAATAAGCTGAAGGATCAGAATCTGAATACACATGTAATGGCAATGGAGTATTTGGTGGCTCATTTGTATAATCTATATACTTCTCGCAATTTCAGGAATCTTGTCATTTTGTAAAATAGGACGTCTTTCATAAGCTGTTCCTGGTTGCCTGTGGGCAGGATGTTCAATGAATCTCTTATGCAAACAGAGAGGAAGGAGTTAAACTGATTAGACCTGAAAACTGGCAGATCACAAAGCAGTAGTCAGAGATGTAATAACAAAGGGATCATCTAGTAAGGCTTTGTGGGTGGAGCTAATGAATAAGAAGGGGATGATGACATTATTGGGGTTGTACTATAGTCCCCCAAATAGTCAACGGGAACTAGAGGAACAGATATGCAGGGAGATTGCGGAGACTTGCAGGAGAAATAGAGTTGTTATCGTGGGGGATTTTAATTTTCCTAACATAGACTGGGACTGCCATAGTGTTAAGCACTTAGATGGGGTGAAACTTGTTAAATGTGTTCAGAAAAGTTCCCTTAGGCAGTATATAGAGGGTCCTACTTGGGAGGGGCAAAACTTAGCCTACTCTTGGGAAATAGGGCAGGACAGGTGACTGAGATGACAGTGGGGGAACATTTTGGAACTAGTACCCACAGTTCTATTAATTTTAAAATGGCTATGGAGAAGGACAAAACTGATCCACAGGTTCAAGTTCTAAATTGGGGCAAGGCGAATTTTGATGGAATTAGACAGGAGCTTGCAGGAGTTGATTGGAGTAGTTTGTTTGCAGGCAAAGGGACCTCTGGCAAGTGGGAGGCCTTTAAAAGTGTGATAGCTAAAATTCAATGTTCATGTGTTCCTGTGAGGGTGAAGGACAAGGTTGGCAGGAGTAGGGAACCCTGAATGACAAGAGACATTGAGGCTTTGACCATAATAAAAGGAGGCATGACTCAGGAACAGGCAGCTGGGATCAAGGGAATCTGTGGAGGTATATAGAGGACACAGGAGTTTACTAAAGAAGGAAATCAGAAAGGCAAAAAGGGGGTATGAGATAGCTTTGGTTGAGAAAATTAGGGTAAATTCAAAGAGATTCTTTAAGTGTATTAAAAGGAAAGAATAACTAGAAAGAGAATAGGACCCCTCAAGGACAAAAGTGGACATGTATGTGTGGAACCTCAGGAGATGGGTGAGGTCATCAATGAATATTTCTCCTCTGTGTTTACCGTGGAGAAAGACATGAAGATTTGGGAACTTTGGGAAGTTAGTGGCGATATCTTGGGGATAGTCCATATCACAGTAGAGGAACTGTTGAAAGTATTAGAATGTATGAAGGTGGATAAATCTCCTGGTCCCTTTTCAGATATATGCTAGAACCCTGCAAGAGACTAGCGAAGAAATTGCGGGTCCCTGGCTGATATGTTTACATTATTGTTAGCCATGGGTGAGGTCCTGGAAGATTTGAGGGCAGAGAATGATGTGCCCTTATTCAAGAAGGGCAGCAAAGAAAATCCTGGGAATTATAGACCAGTAAGCCTAACCTCTATGGTAGGTAAATTACTTGAGAAGATTCTGAGAGATAAGAATACATGCATTTGGAAAGACAGGGTTTGCTTAGGGGTAGTCAGAAAAGGCTTCTTGCAAAAGAGATCATGCCCAGGATTTTCTTTGCAGCCCTTCTTGATTTTTAGTCTCCTACTTTTGAGCCTGTACTGTATCCAAATAGCTAGCTCTCCCTATATTCCATGTGATCTAACCTTGTTAACCATTCTACCATGAGGAACCATAGAATCCCCAGAGTGTGGAAACAGGCCCTTCGGCCCAACAAATCTACTCAGAACATCTGAACCAGACACATCCCGCATAACCCACCTAATCTACACATCCCTGAACACTATGGGCAGTTTAGCATGGCCAATCCACCTAACCGGAACATTTTGGACCGTGGGAGGAAACTGGAGCACCCAGAGGAAACCCATGCAGACATGGGGAGAATATGCAAATTCCATACAGACAGTCACCCGAGGCTGGAATTGAACCCAGGTCCCTAGCACTATGAGGCAGCAGTGCTGACCACTGAGCCACCATGCCACCCAAAAGCAATGCCACCACATTCATATGATTACAATGATGGCTGTCCTGTCGGTGTAAAGTGAACGAGTGTTGACAGCGATCAGCTTGTGGTGTCTGTGCCATCACCACAACATTCCCCCATTAGACTGCAGTTTATCCTGCCTCACCCTGTTGTTCCGATGAAACTCCAGGAAGGAATACTCAGTTCGATCCATTGACATCATAATTGGATCAACAACATTGCATTTGAGAGAAGTTTACACGAGGAACAGTGGACGTAAAGGGCAGTCACCGCTGGGAATTGAACCCAGGATCTCCTGTTTACTAGACAGGCACATTAACCAACTAAGTCACGGTGCCACTAAAGGGGCTCCTTGAGGATTTGAAGCCAGGACCTCTTACATATCCACGATGCACAACACCCAAAGTGGGAATCATACCTCTAGACCAATAAACCATTGCCTCCAAAGCAGAGACTGCCATGCAAGTGTCTAGGCAGAACACAAAGCATTCAACTTGCAGCTAAAATCCTCCAGAGTTGGTCAGTATGGAGATTGAACCCATAACCTTGGTGTGATTAGCACCACACTCTAACCAGCTGAGCTAACCAACCGTCATACCTTGTTGGTTACCTTACTGAAGTCCATATTGATCACATCCACTGCTCTGACCTCATCAATCATCTTTGTCACTTTTTCAATTAACTCAATCAAGTTCATGAGACATGATTTCCCACTCACAAAGCAATGTTGACTATCCCTAATCAGTTCTTGCCTTTCCAAATACATGTAAATCCCATCCCTCAGGATTCCCTCCAACAACTTGCCCACCACCAATATCAGGCTCACCAGTTTATAGTTCCCTGGCTTTTCCTTACCACCTTTCTTACATAGTGGCACCATGTTAGCCAAACTCCAGTCCTCTGGTACCTCACCTGTGGCTATTGATGATACAAATATCTCAGCAAGGGACTCAGCAATCACTTCCCTAGCTTCCCACAGAGTTCTAGGGCACACCTGATCAGGTCCCACATCTGACGTGCAGCACCTCCTCCTCTGTAATATGGACATTTTTCGAGATGTGGGTATTTATTTTCCCATATTCTCTATCTTCCATATCCCGCTCCACAGTAAACACTGTTGTAGAATCACTTTGGATTCTCCTTAGCCCTCTTTGCCAAAGCCATCTCATGTCCCCTTTTTGCCCTCCTGATTTCCCTCTTAAGTATACTCCTACTGCATTTATACTCTTCTAGGAATTCACTCAATCCCAGCTGCCTGTGCCTGACATATGCTTCCTTCTTATTCTTGACCAAAACCACAATTTCTCTAGTCATCCAGCATTCCCTACACGTACCAGCCTTGCCCTTCACCCTAACAGGAACATACTGTCTCTGGATTCTTGTTATCCCATTTTTGAAGGCTTCCCATTTTTCAGCCATCCCTTTACCTATGAACATCCACCTCCAATCAACTTTTGAAAGTTCTTGCCTAATACCATCAAACTTGGCCTTCTTACGATTTGAAACTTTAACTTTTAGATCCAGTCTATCCTTTTCCATCACAATTTTAAAATTAATAGAATTATGCTCACTGGCCCAAGGTGCTCCCCAACTGACACCTCAGACACCTGTCCTGCCTGAATTCCCAAGAGTAGGTCAAGTTTTGCACCTTTTCTAGTAGGTACATCCACATACTGAATCAGAAAATTCTCTGGTACTCACTTAACAAATTCGTCCTCATCCAAGCCCTTAACACTATGGCAGTCCCAGTGTATGTTTGGAAAGTTAAAATCCCTTCCCATAACCACCATACTATTCTTAAAAATAACTGAGATCTCCTTACAAATTTCCCGCTGACTACTGGGGGTTCTATAGTACGATCCCAGTAAAGTGATCATCCCTTTCTTATTTCTCAGTTCCACCCAAATAACTTCCCTGGCCGTATTCCCAGTAATATCCTCCATAAATAGAGCCATGATGTTATCCCTAATCAAAAACACCACTCCCCCTCCTCTCTTGCCCCTCTTTTGATCCTTCCTATAGCATCTATACCCTGGAACATTAAGTTGCCAGTCCTGTCCATCTCTGAGCCACATCTCTGTAATTGCAATGGTATCCCAGCCCCATGTTCCTAACCATGCCCTGAGTTCATCTGCCTTATCTGGTAGGCTTCTTGCTTTGAAATAAATGCAGTTTATCAGTCCTACCTTGTTCTCTGCTTTGTTCCTGCCTGCCCTGTCTGTTTGACTTACTCCTTTTCCCAATTGAAAAAGTCTCAGACCGATCTCTTTCCTCACTACCTCCCCCAGAACCATACCTCCCTTTCTAGCTTAAATCCACCTGAGCAGCTCTAGCAAATCTCCCCACCGGGTATATTAGTCCCCTTCCACTTCAGGTGCAATCTGTCCTTCTTTTACAGGTCACTTCTGCCCCAGAAGAGATTCCAGGGATCCAATAATGTGAATCCTTCTCCCCTGTACCAGCTCCTCAGCCACGCATTCATCTGTTCTATCCTCCTATTCCTACCCTCACTAGCTTGTGGCACTGGAAGTAATTCAGATGTTACTACCCTCAAGAACTACTTTTTAAATTCCTGCCTAACTTCCTATATACTCTCCTCAGAATCTCATCCTTTTCTCTTCCTATGTCTTCAGTCCCAATGTGTACAATGACCTCCTGCTGGTCCTTCTCCCCTTTGAGAATATTCTGCACCTTGTCCCAGATACCCTTGACCCTGGCACCAGGGAGGCAAACACAACATTCTGATGTCTCGCTATTGGCTGCAGAAATGTCTGTCTATGCCTCTGACGTGTGAGACCCCTATCACAATCGATCACTTGGAACCTAGTGTACCCCTCATTACATTAGAGCCAGGCTCGGTACCAGAAACTGGGCTCTCAGTGCGACATTCCCCTGAGAGTCCATCACCCCCTATATTTTCCAAAATGGCATGCTTGTTTGAGATGGTGATAGTCACAGAAGACTCCTGCACTACCTGCCTACCTCTCCTACCTTCCCTGGATGTCACCCATCTACCTGACTGTATCTTCGGTTTATTTCCCTTCCTGCAACTGCCATCCATCACACCCCCTTGCTCCTGTAAATTCCTCATTGATTCTAACTGCTGCTTCAACCAGTCTATGCAATCTGATAGGATTCACAACCAAAAACACTTCCTACAAACATAATCATCGGTAACATGGAAACACTCCCTGATCTCCCATATCCAACAGGAAGAACACATCACTCTACTAAAGGTCACCTTTTCACCTTAACAATCTACAGACTCAGAAAATTGCATAGTCTTACTGCTCTAAAAATGCTGCTCCAGGCTAACTTAATACCTATGTTTTATATTTTTAAAGTTTAATCAAGAGACATTGTAGTAATGACTAAAATAGTCATTATTGTAGATTTACAAAAGTAAAACAGTAGGTTACACTTTAAAAAGCCACTTAGCTGCTCCCCTGCTGTGAGCTCCCAAACTCAGGTTTCTCCAAGGTCCGTTGTGAATTTCGTTGTTTGTCTATTTTTCTTAGACTGAACTCTGGTGTCCAGAGATACTTGAAACCATATGTCATTGAAAGGTACGTCCATTGCTTCCACACCACTCCCTGTAAACTACTGAAACATGAATCAGCTGTAGAGATTGTGTTGAATCAACATGTAGGTAAGCCTCTGTACTGTAACTCTGACCTCAGTAGACATGTGTTTGTGGTAGTGTTCTACTAAGATGTTGGACAGCTCAGAGCATGTTGCTGTATAGCCTTAACATTATGTACAATAAAATAATGAAGACAGTTTATCAATTACTAAGAAGCCTGGCTGGAGCTTGGATTAAGACCTGAAGAACCCACATTAGAACATGATAAAACATGATGGTTGCGAAGAACGGGTCATTCTAAGTTTGGCAGTGTTTTTTTCTCAGACTAATCTGAAGCACCATATGGGAAGTTTGAACAATGAGCAAGAGGATCTTCAGACAACTTTCTGAAGATATCAGCTCAACGGCATGCAGAGGTGAGGCAAAGTAGTTGGAGACTTACCTGAAGTGAGGTAAGGAGATACATATTTCGAACTGGCAGCATGTCCATACCAGCTGCAGTATAAGCATTTGGTGTGCAAGACACAGTGCCACAGGTACAGAGTTGCCTCAGGTCTACACTTCAAGCAACAACAGCTCCAGCTCAGTATTTTGTTACACGCAGTGAGCCCCATTGCCAAAGAGAACCTTAATAGGCAAGGGGCTGCATGGGTAATAAATGCTGATCGTGTCAGCGAAACCAACATATCCTAAATGAATTTTTAAAAAGGCAATGTGATCAGATTAATACTGTTCACTGATGGTATCTGGAAAACTTTGCAACAAAAGGGTAAGTTTGTGCCAGAGACAGGTACTGAGTTTGGCTACTGAGCCCAATTACACTGACAGGGTGTCCATCAATTTCATTGCACGTCTATATACTTTGGATGGACTAACAAGAGGTGATGTTCTCAGTAACACCAGAGGCATAGGAATTCAACATTTTAAGACCTGGACAGCCACTGACGTTGTCATACCTGTGAATGATTTGGCTGTGTACTTTATTGTAGCTTCAGAATTGCTGTCTGTGGAAGCGTTCATCATGATGGAGTTATGTAGACTTGGGTCTTTAAATATAGGTGTGGTAGTGCAAGCAGATGGGTCAGGAATATTTCCAAATGTAGTTTTTCCTGCCTTGTAATCTACTAATGGGCCTTCTCCGCTTCCCTGAAAAAGTAGAGGCAATTTGATTCGCATGGAGAAAATCCACTGGGATTCTGGAAATGAGTTTGGGACAAATTTGGTACTGATCAAACAATGAATACATTGAGCAATATAGGAGTAATACGCAGAGTTTTGTTTTGAAAGACACGAGTAAGACATCTAAGGGATTACAAACTCCATTGCAGTTCCCAGTCTTAGATTTTATGGCCAAAATTCTGCATTATGGAGTCTGAACTCAGCTCTGGATGTGGAAGTGAACTTCACTTCTCTTTGAGTCAGGCACAGGTTTCTCACAGAATTGCCCACTTCTCAACTCATTACATATGAACCTAGTGGCTGGGCAGGCAGGGATTCGAATCTCCCACCATTACATTAAGGGATCATATTTTTGACTGCATTGTGAAAGACACATGGGTGGGCAATCATTCCCTGTAAGTCAGGAACATACTCAGGCCCCTAGAGTGCTCACCTGCAGTGAAACACTGGCCCTTCTATCCTTCCCTGGTTTGTCTGCCTGCCTTGTCCAGACAGGTTTCCAGTTTTAGCCAACATCCCTGAATTGAATTGAATTACCTTTATTGTCACGTGCACTTGAATGAGTGCAGAGAAAAGTTTGAAATGTTGCGGCTTGTGGCACCATCTTAGATACAAGATACCTAGGTATGGTTACTTAAATACTTGGTACTAGATTGAAAGTATAATAAATAAAAGTCCAGCATAAGAATAAAAAGGAAAAAAAAAGTACTCAAATTATTGTCCTTTTCACCTCTGTCCGTGCCAGCACCTATCCTCCAAACCACACCAGGCCAAGTCTCCAGACCGCATTGGACTTTAAAACTTAAGGCCTCGCCTCCAAGTCTGCAAG